AACTATACATCAATGGAAAGCTTATTTATTCAACTTTCAGGTGATGTATAAACCTCAATTTAAAAAAAAATTGACCCTTATGACTGGTTTCGTGCTCCAGGGTCACATATTGTTTTTAAATGACCGTTTTATAAACAAGTATTTAAAGAAATATTTCACCCCAAAATGAAAGTTCTGTCATCAGTTACTCATCCTCATGTCATTCCAAACCTGTAAGACTTTCTTCTGTGGAACACAAAATAAAGCAGTAAGCCCCAAGAAGCCGTGGTTTACAGTGAATTTATAACAGCTAAGGGGCGTTGTTAGGCACGACGCGAAGCGGAGGCTTATTGCTTTTATAAAATGGTTATTCCATACACATAGTAAGGTTTCACAAAATAAAACAGAGCAAATAAAGTGTAATGATATTAATAAAAACATTATTCGTCCGCCAAACAATGTAGTTCCTCAGAAAGGTTGTGGTTGCAACAAAGTGGTTGCCAAGCAACACACAAACGTAAACAAAGGTGTATGTTTGTAGAGTAATTTACAACAGTTTCGAACGTGACTCAGCCAATCAGAATCAAGGACCGGAACTATCCGTTTTATAAACATATTTTGAAGAATGTTTTAACTGCTGTCCATACAATGAAAGTCAATGGGGTCCAGAACAATATTGTTTCAAAATATAATCTTGTGTGTCCCAATGAAGAACGAGCGAACAACAAGATGAGTAAATGATGACAGAATATTCATTTCTGAGTGAACTATCATTTTTAATGTCGAATAATTTCTTTAAGTCCTTTATTTTGTTTATCTTTGCCTTTCAAGTAAAACTAGCTTTAAAATAAGCAAAATAAGTCCAAGCTTCGACTGTGTTGCCTAGCAACAATAGACAAGCAGAGTGAGACGTTCCAGGCCCAATGCTGTTATATTAAATATAAGCATTCTATGCCAGAAACTAACTTTTTATGGTTACAAATTTGTGTTTGCTGGAGTGTCTGGAGAAGACCCACTATTGTTTATATTCTGAACGTTTTGCTTTGTTTTCAGGCTAAACATACCTCACACACACCGCCATGATCTCCCTCGATTCAGTCAGTCTTTGAATCGCAGTGAGCCTCAGACTGTGGTTAGTGTATATCGTTCTCGTGCCGGCCTCTTTGCATATTTTGGGCAGCATTTGGGACAGATAATTGACTCCCATTGGAAGTGGTGTATACCACATCTCATCGGCGATCACATATGTCCTTTTGGGCTGCAGATACAGCGCTTTTGCGTCGGCGGGGATTTTGCTCAGATATTTCTCCAGAGATGCGACTGGGCACAGCGGATTGCCGGGCTCTTCATACATAGCCCTGCGGTTTTTCTTGTCCTTTTCCGGCATGTTTTTCGTGTCCTCGTGTAATGTCATCGTGAAGTATTTGAATCCGTTTTGGTCTCGGTTCAGAGCAAACGCGTCTGGCTGCAGGTGTCGGTTGCCCTCCTTACCCCTGAGTCCGAAATGTAACTGGATATCGTACCAGACCTTATTTAGCAAGCCTTTCGGGTTGCCAGGGTCCAGTGCAGGAGAATGCTTCAGTAGGTGCTGGTCCTCCGGTGAAATCGGGGGGTAATGTGCTGTTATATTTCTACCGGAGCGTCGGATCTGCTTAACGACGCCTTTGAAAACATTATTGGCGGCCCTGAACTCTGTGTCCTGCATCAGATTCCACACACGGTTGAGCGGAGGTTCATTGATGAACCGATTCAATCCAGCTCGAAGCCCGACGTAGCTGCTGATGCCGTACAACTCTCCTTTGCTCGTCCGAATAGAGCCATAAAACTCGCGAAGCACCGGGTTTATCTCCGACTTCTCGACGGTTTTAAAGTCGATCGTCAGCTGCTTTTCACGTAACCAGGCTTTAAAACAGTTCACAGCCCATACCGTTTGCTTTACAGTACTAGATTCGTTCCGGTTGTGCTCCAGTTCGTCTAAATCCGCTGATGATACATTCGCACATCTGGCTATCTGTGCTGTTAAACTGGACTCTCCTCCCTCCGTCTCTTCCTCTTCACCTGAAGAGCTTTCGCACTTTAGGTCAAACATTGTATTCATGGGAACAAAATCCGTTGGTTAAACTGTTCTCTTCTTCTTTCTTTCTTTCAATGTCATAAATGCTCAAGGCGTTCGTAGGCTCATACTACATGACATACATACTAACCTTTATGTACTAAGCTAAAATGAACAATTATTTGAAGCGACTTGCTGACCTGTATACAGATCCACGAGTGTTTACAGGATTTCTTTGTTCTTCTTCTTCTTTGAGATACTAGAGGATGGAGCGCCACAGAAATATACCGCCACCTACCGTTTACTGCGCAAGCAACATGCGATCTCAAATGAAACTTCACTATGCGATTGAAATGTCTTCAATTTTATGCAAATGCCCTTTTATTTGATTATTTTTTTAGCTAACACAGCATTGGTACTTTATCACTGATATGTTATCATACTCATGCAAAAACAAATAAAGATTCATAGAAAAGCTGTTTAGCCATGGCTTCAATGCTTGTGCTGGGTCGCTTCTGAATTTCCTATACGTGTTTTTAAACGGTGCTGTTTTGATCTGCTGCAATGAGAAAGATTTTCAATGCTTTTTTAAGTTTACAGAAACAAGTGTCCATGGATTAAAAGAAATAACTCAAATAATTATCAAATTAAATTAAGCTTCAAAATTATAGAAATATTAAGAGTAGGGCTGCACGATAAATCGCATGCGATATTTAACGTGCATCTTGTCAGTGAAGCTATTCTGTAATCAGCGGTAAATCTCCATCACGTGCGTGCTTTCACATTGAGCAGCATTAACTACACAGAGCCGTTGTTCACTGACAAGCTGCGCAAAACCACGTTCATATTTTGCACATGTTTTGCGCAGCTTGTCAGTGAACAACGGCTCTGTGTAGTTAATGCTGCTCAATGTGAAAGCACGCACGTGATGGAGATTTACCGCTGATTACAGAACCAGCTTTACTGATAAGATGCGCGTTAAATATCGCATGCGATTTATCGTGCAGCCCTAACTTACACTTTGTTTTTGTGTAAAACTCAAAATAAAGATTTCTTGTTGTTATTTTGTGGATACGGCAGTAACTACATATTCAGCAGATACACTGATACAGGGAACCTTCTAATTTGGTACAATATGAAAATATTAAATAAAATAATCAACAACAGGGCCTAACCTATGAGGTTGTGTTAGTTAGTT